GAGTGTGAAGGAGAGCGTGGCAGTGGCGGCTGGGGGTGGAGGAGCTAGGTTGGAGCCAAGGCTAGAGAAAGCAAAGGGTCCTACGCCTGACGCAGCAGGGGAGCCTAAAGTAGGCACACTGGACACACCTACACTAGGCAACATGGGGTAATAGGAACCAGTCACACTAGAGTCATCGAGATACAACACATACAATGCGAAGCTAATCTCATCCATGTCCATATGAAAGATCCTAACACCACAGCGGAGCAGACTGTGCCAGTCAAGGAGGTCTGGCGCGGGGCCGAAGCAGAGACGAAACAGGTCGTCCAGGCGACTGAAACAGCGAGTAGGGGTATGACTGGTCTTACCGCACACGAGGCCGCGGCGAGGACCGATCTGGAGCTGGTACTAGCAGCGCCCGTCACTCGCACCACCACCTGACGATGAGCTACGCGCATGACCACCGCGACCACCACCACCACCAACGACAGGCCACCCAGGCGGGAGGCGGCCGACCCTCCGCTACGAGTGCTACTGCTGCTGCTGCTGCGGCTTGTGGAGCTGTGGTGCCTGCTGTTGCTCTAGCTGGGGCTGCCGCTCCGAGGCACCAGCCCTAGCCCCCTCGTCGGTACTACCGCCAGCGGATGAACCACCTCCACCACCACCTCCCACCCCTCCTCCACTACCACTGCCGGCGCCCAGCCTTAGGGCAGCGGGCCTTACCATAACGAGACTGCGCTGCAGCCACCGCGATAGCGGTCTCAGCAGCAGGGGCTGTCTCAGCGACGGCCGCAGAACCGTCAGAGTAAGTGCACTGAGCGGGGGCACGACCCTGAAAGATAGGGACCGGCGCAGTACCGCTAGACTGGGCGATAGAGCGCTGATGGGTCTCTATGGTAGACAGGGTGTCGACAAAGTCAGAGAGGGTGAGGTCAGCGGGGTGCAGACTAAGAAAGTCGTCGCGGGCAGTGCCGAGGCGATCGGGGAGGCGGGTGGCAAGGAGGTAAAGGGTAGAGCAGATAGGGGGCTGGAACACACGAAGCTGGGCCTCAGTGCAGGCAGCGCGCCAGCTAGCGTCGAGCGTGCGCAAGTGTGTGGCCAGGTCAGCGATAGTGGGGAAAGATGCGAGATCAGGGAAGAGCATGGGAAGGATCAGGCGGCCGGCAGAGGCAGAGGATGGGGTGGAATAATGCTCGACAACGCCTCTAGGAACTCCTGCGCAGTCCTGACCGACTTAAAGCGGGGGCGCTGAGACAGGGGGAGGGCATGGCTAATCGCGAGCTGAGCGACAGCGTCACGCGACAGCCAAACAGCACGGGCAAGGGCAGCAGCGGCGGCGGACTCACGGTCAGCAGACGTGGAGTCAGCAGGAAGAGCAACAGGGGGGTCAGGGCAGGGGAGCGTACCGTCAATATGGACGGCCAGGGAGTGGCCGTCCTACCGCTGACCAGTGAGGTGACGGCGGAGGTCGATGAGCCATGAGTCGAACTCAACCAGCTGACCCTCCGCGTCAAAGCGTAGCACCGAGTCCGCCATGAAGGCCGCTGCAGCCGCGAACAGGCGGTGAAGGAGCGACGAGGAGAAGTGGGGAGGAGTGTTGTACGGTGCAGTTTGGTGGTGTGCGGTGGGGTCCCGTGCAGTGCGGTGCCACACGATGCAGAGCGTTGCAGTGCGGTGGGGCGCGGTGCAGTGTGGTGCAGTGAGGTGGGGCGCTGTGCAGTGTGGTGGGGCGCAGTGCAGTGTAGTGCGGTGCTGAGCGGTGCAGCATAGTGGGGCGCGGTGCAGGATGGTGGAGCGGGGCGGTGAAGCGGGCGGGGACCGGGAAACACGGCGGCAGAGCCGCTGGGAGACGGGGCCGCGAGGCGGGCGGGTGACGGGGCCGCGGGGTGGCTGGGCGACGAGGCTGCGGAGCAGCGGGCCGACAAGTCGTGGGGCGGCTGGGCGACCAGGCCACGGAGCCGCTGGGAGATGGGGCCACGGGGCGGCTGGGCAACGGGGCCGCGAGGCGGCTGGGCGACGGGGCCGCGGAGCAGCGGGGCGACGGGTCGCGGGCAGCTGGGCGACGGGGCCGCGGAGCAGCGGGGCGACGGGGCCGCGGGGCGGCTGGACGACGAGGCCGCGGGGCGGTTGGGCTAAGGGGGCCACGGGGCGGCTAGGCGACGGATATTAAATTATATCTAAGATATATAATTGTAGGCTTGGTAGCTGTTACTAAAACCTACTGTAGAGGGTATAGCACCCCTCCTTGTATCCCTCTCTCTTCTATTCTCTCTCGCTTTTCTCTCGTCAACTTTCTCTGAGCTAAACCCTTTCGCCATTTTCATGGCTTCCTAGCTACCTAGCTCTTGTGACATGGTAACAGAGCAGGTTGCCCTTCCCGGGCCTACTCCCCACGCTTCCGCTGCGTGCTTGTTTCTTTTCCGTCGTCGTTTCCGTGCCGCCGTGGCGGCCTTTTCGAGCTGCCATGGCGGCTTCGTGGTGCTGTGGCGGCGTCGTAATGATGCCGTCGCGGCGTCGTAATGATTCCGTGGCGGCGTCGTCGGGCTGCAGCCGGCCGCGCAACTCCTGTGGCGCGGCTCGACCTGACGCCTGCACGCCAACCACGGGCGTGATGCTGGACCACGCCGTGTCCCCCCCCTTCTTCCCCTGCGTCCCCTCCTCCTCGCCACAGCCGACGCCCGACTCGTGAGGGTCTTCCCCATCATCGTAGAGCTTGGCCACGCCGCCGAGAGGGTGGGCGCCGCTGCCGTCGCTGCTGTCGTCGAAGCCGTCGCTGGCCTGTTGCAGCTGCACGCCGCCGCCGCTGTCGTCACTGCCTCCGTCGCCATCTCCCGGGCCGTGGGGTTGGCCATGCCGGAGTAGTCGTGGCTGCTGCTGGGAATTGGGGTTGTGGGTGTGTGTGGGTTCTTCTATTAACAAGCCTAGGGGGTGTGTTAAATTATATATATGTTATATAATTAGAGGCTTGGTAGGTGTTACTGAAACCTACTGTAGAGGGTACAACACCCCTCGTTGTATCCCTCTCTCTTCTATTCTCTCTCTTTTTTCTCTCGTCAACTTTCTCCTAGCTAAACCCTCTCGCCATTTTCATGGCTTCCTAGTTACCTAGCTCTCGTGACAATGGGGAGGCAAGGCGGCTACGCTAGGGGCGACGCGCAGGGCTGACGTTTCAAAAAAAGGCACTCTGATTTTGCCCCCCAAAAATTTTCCCGAGTCTGAAGGGTCATTTTTCAAAATTTCGCTACTCTGAAATCTCAGTGTCCAAGATTTAACGAGTCTGAAATACTCAGGGTTCATAATGTCGACTCAGAGTCCTGCGCCCAAGTCGAATCTTGTATTTGCAGAGTTCACACCAGGGTCTCAGATTCGTTTTATGGAGGCTGATTGCTCAGGCCTGCCCTTATGAGAACCCATTTTTGTTAGGGTAGTTTTTATCTTATTGCCTGAAATTTCAGGCTGAATTTTCCGTAAAGCTGACAAATCAGGCCTGGGTTTTGAAACGTGCTGTATCAGTGACGATGGCTGCAGTTCGCCGCGTAATCGAAGGAAAAGTTGTGTTCTCAGGAACTGCCGAAACCCCACCAACTTGCTGTTTCCGCGCAATTTGTGCTAACGACAAATCACGTCCCTCGCGCGCGCCTGCTCTAGCCTTCCTCGGGCAACCAGCGTGATACAGTACTTGGTCTAAGGACCAGTCACGCTCCTCATGATTGCTCCTAGGTACAGTACCTCAGACTTTTGCGTGATTTTGGTCTGACGGCCAATCACAGCCTCACACCTGCTCCGGGTACCGCGAAGCACGTCGAAGGACAATGCGTGTACAGTACAGCAGCAGGGAGTTTGTCTGTGATGGGTCCTTGCAAGTGTGTGATTGGTGTTGAGGGACTTGTGCCACCCGCTCAGAGGACTTGACAAAAAAAATCAGGGGAAAGGGGGTGCGGGGAGAATGTCTCTAAAAATGGAAGACTTAGCCGATTTTTGTGGGTGTTGGGGGTGTTAGAGGGGTGTCTCTAGAACAGGACTTCAACGATTTTTATGGGCTGCTGGTTGTGCTGGGGGGAACTGTCTCTGGCTGCTAGGACTTAGCCAGTTTTTATAGGTTGCGGGGCGGGGTGTGTGAAAGGACTTGACTCTGGCCGTTGGGGATTTGGACGAAAATTTTGGGTGAGGGCAGGTAGGTATGTCTGTCTCAGGGCCAGTACGCACTGTGCTCTGAAAACTCAGTATCCACAAACTGCCAAGTCTGAGATTCTGAGGATTCAAAAACATATAACTCTGAAGGGTTCAGCATTCAGAAATTGGCAAGTCTGAAAAATCAGGATCGGCAAAAAAATAGGTCTGAAATTTCAGACAATCAGACTAAAATAGTCTGATCAGCCCTGGCGACGCGGCCGCGGGGCCAGCAGGGCGGCTAGGTGCTGGGCGACGGGGCGACAGGGCCACGGGCGGCTGGCGCTAGGTGGCGGGGCAACGGGGCCGCGGGCGCCTAGGCGCTAGGTGATGGGGCCGCGGGGCCAGTAGGGCGGCTAGGCGCTGGGTGACGGGGCCACGGGCGGCCAGGAGCTAGGTGACGGGGCCACGGGGGCTAGGCGCTAGGTGACGGGGCCGCGGGGCCACGGGCGGCTAGGCGCTAGGGAACGGGGCCGTGAGGCCAGCAAGGCAACGGGGCAGCGGGGCCCGTGGGGCGGCTAGGCGCTAGGCGACGGGGCAGGCTAGGACCTAAGGCGGAAGCGTGGGTGGGTGGGGGGGACCTAACCTACTCATGATACCATCTCAGAGTTAGAAGTGTTGACTAGAATGAGAGTACACAGGGGTATATAGCTAGTGGATTGTACTCTCTATGGCAAGCCCCTATGTAGTCTACTAAACATACACAAATATGTTTGACTGTTTCGAGCTCTGCCGAGCCCTTTTTGACTCGTGCCTAGCTATTTCCGAATGCTGGGCTTGTTTCGATGTTGCAGATTGTGTACTAATTCTCGCTAAGGACTCTTGTTCTCGTCGTGATGCGTGAGTACATTTGTGATACAATTTCATTTAAGGGCAATGATTCTGCTTTCACACAGTGTAGATATCGACAAATGCACGCTCGGCATATCGAGTACAGCTTTTCAGCAGCTACAGATTTCTATGGCTGCTTCGGTTAGGAGTCGTCGGCCACTCTCTTCCCCCAACTAGTCCATATACCTTCATCTAGCACTTATCGAGAAGACCGCTTGCTTGCCGCTTACCGTGAAAGGTTGTAACCCCCGTCAGTGCACCGTCTGTTCTGACGGCTCGCGAACAGTCGACGGCCCATTAGCCGTGCGTCCCGCCGTGCGCTTTCTCATCGCCGTCCAGATCGGTCCGTCACCCGTAGTTTACCGTTGGCGGCGCGGTGCTCGAGTTTCTGTTCTCGTCATCCCTGCGCGATAACATCAAAACCACATATTGTCAGGTTAAAACGGCGCACTCTTAGGGTAGATGGAGGACGCAGAGGCGCGCCGAGCTCGCCTGCGGGACATGCGCGAATCCGCGGCGAAGCAGCAGACGGGTTCCCCCGCGCGTATGCCTTCCGCCGCCCTCTCCGCGCTCCCCTCCCCCAATTTCGCCCCCGCCGGTTATCCGCATGCTTCCGCGCAGGCGCCATCCGGGGAAGGCGGATCTACCAGAAGGCCCGCAGGAGGAGCAGGAGCAGGCTCGGGGGGATTTTCGTTCTACACCGATCCTATGGCAGCCTTTCAGCAGCAGCCACGTGTAGGGCCGGGATTGGGCCCGCCTTCCATGCGCGCTCCCTCCCCGCGCCTGCCTTTCCCTCATCTTCCGCCCTCCCCACTTCCTTCCCCTGCTGGCTCCGCTGGCTGCTATCCTTCCGCCAACAATCACTCCACTCCGCTTAGCTACACTCCTCCCCCACCCGCCTATACTCCGCCCCCCGGCTATACCCCTCCCCCCAGTTATACTCCACCCCCCAGTTACACCCCTCCGCCTGGCTACGCCCCTCCCCCACCTTCCACAGGTCCCCCAAGCGGGGGACCATACAGTGCGCCGATCCTCCCCCATCCCCCCCCTGGTGGCGGAATGGGGGTGGCGTTCTCCCCCCTGCCCGCGCCCATGCGCCAGGCTACTCCTCCCTCCGCGCCCCTGTACCAGTCAACACCTCCCCCGGGTATGACCCCCCCAGGCGCGCCTGCTCGCGCTGCGGGTGCAGCCTCCCCCATGCACCTCCCCCCTGCGTCCTGGGGCGGTCAGCCTGGCGCGGATGATCAGAGCTTCTCTGGATCGGGTTGCCTGCAACAGGGTGACCAGCAACAGGGTTACCAGCAGCAGGGTTTCCAGCAGCAGGGTTACCAGCAAGATGGAGGGGCGGATTACCAGCAGCAGGCGGGCAAGGGATGGGACGGCGGGGGGAGAGGAGGATGGGGGCAAAACAGAGGAGAGGGAGCAGGGGGGGGAAGAGATAGGGGCAGAGGAGGAGGAGGAGGAGGAGGAGGAGGAGGAGGAGGAGGAGGAGGAGGAGGAGGAGGAGGAGGAGGAGGAGGAGGAGGAGTAGGAGGAAGAGGAAGGGGGCAGTGGGGTGGGGGAGGGGGCGCGGATGGCAGGAAGAGGCCGTGGGAGGGGCAGGGAGGAGGGAAGAGCAATTACAATATGGGAGGGCTTGGAGCAAGTCCAGGTGGGGGTGGTGGGGGGAGAGGGGGGTGGAATAAGGACGAGAAGGGGAGTGGAGGTGGGTGGGGTAGGAATAGAGGGATGGGAGGAAGGGGATCCGGACAAGGAGGGGGAGGGAGGGGAGGGAGAGGTGGAAGAGGAGGTAGGGGGAGAGGTACTGTGTCGGCGAGGGACCAGCCGGAAGCGTTTTTCTCTCCGATGTTTGTGGAGGATCCCTGGAAGCATCTAATGTGACTCGAAACCCTTATCATTACAGAAGATTAAGCAGCACATTTTTTGCTGATTATCTAGGGTGTGACATCTGTTGGGCTGAGAAAAAGCCCTTAGGATCTTTTGCAGAGACTAAGTCCCAGCTTGTAGAGACTTGAGACTTGGAGTAGTGCAGCGGAAGTTGAGGCAGTTGAACCCTTGTACTAGTATGTGAGAACAAGTGATTGATTAAAGAAACAAGCATACAGCAATATATAGAAGATAAGAAAGCAGTTGTAGAATACAGTTACAGGAACGGTTTATCGAGTCGCACAGCGACTCGATTGCCGCTTCGGTTACCATCCGTGATGTTGTAACGGTCAGTCGCAACCTCCAGTTGCGACCTTTCGAGTCCTTTCGCATTCTTTGTCCGCCCCCTCGTGTAACCTCCGTTGACTCGCGTGCTCCCCTGTAATCTTCCTCGAGTACAGTGTTACACTTCAGAAACGCTTAAGTCCTTGAGATATTTCCAACACTCCCCTTCGTTTCTGGAGTGCTGGAGTGTTCAGATCCGGTGACGTTTGTTTGCCCGGTTAGGAGCATGCAGTAGTCGAATTTTGCTTTCGCCAATTTCTTCGTCAGATAATCTGCGGCCATTTCTGTCGTCGGGCAGTAACTGAGTTGAAGTCTCCCCTTCGCGATTTCATCCTTGACGAAGAAGTACCGCAGGGCGATGTGCTTGGTTCGGTTGGCGAAGCCGTCCTTGTTCGCGATTTTGATCGCAGATTGGTTGTCGCAGAGGAGTGAGAAGGCGGGCAGGGTCGCGATCTTCGCTTCTTCGAGTAACTCTCGTAGGTAGAGTCCTTCCTTGGTCGCAGTACAAAGGGCGATATACTCTGCTTCAGCCGAGGATAGTGCGATTAACTCCTGCTTGCTCGACTGCCAGGAGATAGTTCCGATAGGTTCTAGTCGGTAGATGTAGCCCGTCCTAGACCGTCGATTTTCGCTGTCTCCCGCGTGGTCGGCGTCGACGTATCCGAGTAGTTGTACGGACGGTGTTGTTGTCTTGCTGTAGGTGAGCCCGATCGTCGGCGTGGAGACGAAGTAGAGTAGCGCTCGATTGAGTTCTTCGAGATCTTCCTGTTGCGGCTGCTTCAGATGTGTCGCCAGCTGACTCGCACTATAGGATAGGTCGGGTCGGCAGGTTACTGCTGCGAATAGTAGGCAGCCGAGCTTCTGTTGATACTCCTGGATTTGTTTCGCGGGGAGTTTTGTGGAGGCGCTACTGTTGTTCCCGTAGCGGTAGGGAGTTGGGACCGCAGTCGGTGCTAGACCGAATTTCTTCGCGACGGTGCTTGAGTACTTTCCAGCGTGTAGGTAGAACGCCGTGTCGTCTTCGACGATGTTCAGTCCTAGGTACTGAGTAACTTCGTCGGACACCGTGAGAGTTAAATCTTCTTTCAGCTCCCCTTCGAACCAGGTGGCGATGTCGATAGTGGAGCCGATGTAGAGCAGGTCGTCGACGTAGACGATGAGCAGAACATAATCTCTTCCCTTCTGCAGTCGGTACATCCCTTGGTCATGCGGTAATTGTAGGAAGCCGATCTTTGCGAGACGGCCGTGGAGATGCTGCTGCCAGAGCCGCGGGGCTTGCTTGATCCCGTATAGGGATTTTGTCAGTCGGCATATTTTCGTGGGATCGTTGATGAATCCGTGGGGTTGTTCGACGAAGATCTCAGCGTCCACAGGTGCGTATAGGAATGCATTCGCGACATCGATTTGGCGTAGTGGCAGTTTTTTCGTGGCCGCGACGGCGAGTAGGATGCGTAATGAGGTGTGACGGGAGACTGGAGCGAAGGTTTCTGTGTAGTCGGCTCCGTATCGTTGGTCGAAGCCTCGTACGACCCATCGAGCTTTGAATCGTTCGATGGAACCGTCTGAGTTGGTCTTGATGCGGTACACCCATTTCCCCGAGAGAACGTTTTTTCCGTTGATGCTCGTTGCAGGTACCAGTTTCCATGTTTCTCGGTCTTGCAGAGCTTTTAACTCCTTTTCCATTGCTTCCTTCCATCTTGCCTTATGTTCCCCCCCCAGAGCCTGCGACAACGTTGAAGGCTCTCGCGGAGAAGGCGGCGGCGGATTCTGGACGGAGACCCAGAGGCCTAGAATCTGGAGTCCCGTGGGCGTGTGTCGAGGGGAATTTTCATTCCCGGAATAAGCTGCTTCGTCACCGTCTTCGGGGTCAGGTAAGAAATTGGGGCCGATGCGTTCCGAAATATTCGTGTCGACGGGGTGAGGTGTAGCGTAACCTTGGTCGGCGAAGTGGTAAAAGGTGTCGAGGTTGTTGCTATCGAGGGGATTTTCTTCATCGAGTGGAACAGGTACGGAACAGAATGGGAGTGGTCCGGCAGCTTCCGAGGCTCCAGGTACGTCTTCTTCTGCTGCGTCAGCCTCGGCAGTATGGTCAGCGAAGGAGCGAAGGCCCGCGAAGCCGTCGGTGGGGTCTTGTGTGTTGGCAAGGTTGTCCAGGTAATGCTGCAGCGTCAGTCGTTCGTAGAAGATAACATCGCGTGATGCCACCGTGTTTTTGTCTTGTATGTCGAGAATTTTCCACGCGTGAAAATGTTTTGCGATGCCGAGGTGTAGTCCCCATCGAGCTCTTTGTGAGAAGCGTCCTGCTCGGGCTGTGTGGGGTCTGTACTGTACCATGCAGCCGAAAACGCGGAGTAATTTTGTGCTGCCCCTTTTTCTTGTCCACAACAGGTGCGGTGATGCGTTGTTGGGAAGTGATGACGAGGACAGCAGGTTGTGCAGGTGAACAGCATGTGTCATCGCGTCTGGCCACAGTGCGTTGGGCAGCCTCATCCCCAGAAGCAGTTTTCGCATCGTCGTCTGCAAGGTCCGGTTCATGCGTTCTGCTACCCCCTGCTGCTGGTGAGCATAGGGCAGAGACACCAGGCGTCGGATTCCCCTTTCCGCGAGATAGGTCCTGAAGCGTTGTGACTGGTATTCCAGTGCACCGTCTGACTGGAAACTCTTGAGTTTGGTTCCTGACTCTCGTTCGGCGATTGGAAGCCATGTGGTGAAGGCCTCGAAGGCTTGATCGCGCGTTTTGAGATTGAAGTGCCAGACGTATCTGGTTGCGGCGTCGATGAACGTGATGACGTAGTTGAAGTCGGCTTCGGTGTCGTCTCGAGGCATGTTTAGAATATCGCTGTAGACTTTTTCCATCGGAGCGTAAGTGGGTGCGCTTGGATTGTGATGGGCTTGGAAAGGTTGATGAGGAAGATCTGCTTCGGGGCATGTGAAACACCGTGCGCGTGGTCGTCGGAGTTCCTGGCCGTTCGTCGTCAGAAGGGCGTTGCGTTCTAACACCTCTGCTTGGATTGTTTGAAGTATCGTGCTGTTTGCAGGATGTCCGAGACGTTGGTGCCAGATGTCGTCGGGAGCGCGGTGGCCGGGCGAGCGGTGGTAGATGTCGGCGTTGGAGAAGAACGCGACGACTGAGGCGGGACTTCGACAAGCTTCTCGTGTGGCGGGCATAAGTTGGTCTGCTTCCGTTGGCGGTCCTCGTGTTGATGGTGGTGGTACTCGGCTGGGTCCTGCTGCTGATACTGCAGGTGATGGTTTTGTTGGGACACTTGCGGGTACTTGTCTTTCTTGTCTGATAACTGCTAATGCTCGTGTTCTCTCTGCTGCAGGTATGGTGTTGGAGTGCCAGAAGCCGTCACTGTCGAAGTCGGGGTCAAGATCCGGCGGGTGAGTCCAGGCGGCGAACGATACGATGCCATCGCTGTCGGCAGTTCCGCGGTCGGGGACGAAGTCCAACACGAAGACACCGGACTTCAGGAGGGCACGACCGATGAAGAGGCCGCCCTTCCCGTGGTAAAGCCGGAACTCGTTGGAGTAAGAGTCGCACTCCAGGTGAATCCCCTTGGCCATTAGTTGGCTTACGCTTAGTAGGTTGTATCCCAGATTGTCGACAATGAGCACCTTGTTGAGTTGAAGTATGACATTCGTCTCCATTGATTGTAACTGAACCACGCCCTGTCTGTTTGTCTTCAGGTTTTCGTTGTTGGCGACGGTGATGACGACGTCGCGGTTGAGTCGTTTCTCCTGTTGTACGAAGCGTCCCGAGGAGCACATGTGTTGACCGCAGCAGCTGTCCAAGAACCAGGTGTTTCGCCCGGTGGGTTCGGCGTTGGCGACCGCAGCGTATGTCGGGTTGACCTGAAGTCCTTGTGAGCGCGGCGGCGGGAATTCCTCTTCGTCTGGTGCGTAAGTGGGTGGTGATCTGGGTGCGCAGTTGTCGATGTGTACCATGCAGTTGATGATATTTGGTGTCCCTTGTGCAGATGTTGAAGAGCGCCTTGGGGAACTTGCTTGAGTGGAAGCAACTTGTGGGTCTGCTGCTCGGTAAACGCGAGGGCGGTTGCAGTTGACTTTGGAGTGTCCGGAAGTCTGGCAGTTGTGGCAGAACGGCGGCACGATGGTGAGTCCTCGGTTGTCGCGTTGATCTTGCTTGCTGCGTCGGTTGTAGTTTATGTCATTTCTTCTTTGAGTGTAGAAGACTAACTGCTGTTGCTTCCTTGGTTGTCTTTCCTCGAACAGATCCATCTCCTGTTGTTCAGCGTGAAGCTCGGCGCAGAGGTGCATCTCCGAGATCCTTCCGTGGCCGCGAAGAAGCGATCGTGTGGTTCTCCATTCTGGTCCGAGCCCGGCGAGGACAAGTGTGACGAAGCTTTCTTCAGTGATCGTTCCTCCGCACCGAAGCAGGCGGTCGCGCAGGGTCTGGCAGCGACTCATATACTGCATCGCCTTTTCCCCGGTCTTCATCTGTATTGTTGTCAGCTGTTGCATGAGTCTGCTTTGTGTCACGCTGTCGTTTGCTTGGTAGAGGCATTTGAGATGATGCCATGCGAGTTCCGCGGAGTTTCCATAACTCCGATACGTTCTGATGCTCTGCTGCTCTTGTGGTGACAGGTTCCGCAGGAGGACTGTATACGCCAGTAGCGACTGATACGTGAAGATCTCTTGTTCCTTTCCAGTGCCGTTGCTTGGGAATGGCAGGGACCCGTTGAAGTATCCCAGAAGATGCGCGGCCTCCATCAGCAGCTCGAACTCGAAGCTCCAGGTAAAGAAGTCGTGTCCGTTGAACGGTGAGGATGTTTGTAACTTGATGACGTGTGAGAATTGAGCTTGAAGACTGAGAATCTCGTTTGGTGTTTGTTGTGATGCAGCTGCTGTTGGTTGGGCGCGGGGCGGCATGAACTCGAACGTTCCCGGTGAAGAATGATAAGGCGCAAAGGTAGGTGCTTGGTTGTGTCGCCCGAAGGATGAGTTGTCGAGGCTCATCGGCGCTAATCCCATGTTTCCTCCATTGCTCTGTGTTGAATGCGCAGGTGTCCTTGTCTGCTGTTGCTGGTCGAAGTGTGACATGAAGCTGAAGAATCTCTCCATGAGATTCGGGTCCACACTTGAAGAGGGAGACGGAGTCACCATCTCTGGTACTCTTCCTGTTGTTTCTTGAGCAGTCCCGGTCTCTGTCTGCAATCCTGAGGTGTGCAGACCAGAGTTGCCGTGTTGAGTTTCTTGGCCGCTGGGTGAGCCCGTAGAGGCTTTCTTGCCCTTGCTGTCCATGTCTTGTAATCAATGAAGTCGTTGAATTGAGTTGAGTTGCAGTTTGTTGATGGAGCGTAGTTGCTGGGAGTTTGATCTCTGACCAGCTCTCATACCATGTTGGGCTGAGAAAAAGCCCTTAGGATCTTTTGCAGAGACTAAGTCCCAGCTTGTAGAGACTTGAGACTTGGAGTAGTGCAGCGGAAGTTGAGGCAGTTGAACCCTTGTACTAGTATGTGAGAACAAGTGATTGATTAAAGAAACAAGCATACAGCAATATATAGAAGATAAGAAAGCAGTTGTAGAATACAGTTACAGGAACGGTTTATCGAGTCGCACAGCGACTCGATTGCCGCTTCGGTTACCATCCGTGATGTTGTAACGGTCAGTCGCAACCTCCAGTTGCGACCTTTCGAGTCCTTTCGCATTCTTTGTCCGCCCCCTCGTGTAACCTCCGTTGACTCGCGTGCTCCCCTGTAATCTTCCTCGAGTACAGTGTTACACTTCAGAAACGCTTAAGTCCTTGAGATATTTCCAACAACATCCATGCTAATCACATAGCCATGAGAATTTTGCGGAATATGGGTCTTGTAAGCGATTTTGTGTTTACTGACTATTCGTGTCCGTTCTGTTACAGGCTCACATCAGCACCCAACTTCCATTGCCCGTCAAGCTGAGCCCAAGCACAAAATAACAAATGCACCTCTTTCGCCATGTGGTAACTCGGGTTGTCGCAAATTACCTCTAGGGCCCAATCAAGCCAGCCATACAGGCGCGTTCACTCTAGAGCCGGAACTGACAGCAGACCCCTTTCTCCGACCCCACTAGAGCCGCCTTTCGCGAGCAGCCATGGCTCTCGCAGACCATTCCCTCGCCTCGCGTCGCGACCACGTCGCGAGATCTCTAAGCGGCTTCTCTCTGCTTCGCGACGCCGCGCATTCCGGTCACTCGAACCAAGTGCTCCCATCCGGCACTGTCTGCGATGATAACAGTCGCGATTCAAGCGGCCAAGGTGGCTCCATTAGCGCCAGCGCAATAGTCAGCAGCGGCAGCGCGTTGTTTCGAGACGGCGGGTCGTTGCAGTCCCACATGGCCGCAGCACTGGCGAGTGGAATGCGCGCTGCTGCGCCGCTAGCGGGGGCATTCGGGCAGGCGGGGGGGTTGGGGCTCGGGGGGGGGTGGGGCGCGCGCAGCCCCCGCAGCAGCAAAGAAACCGCTCGGAGAAGTCCTCAAAGGCGGAGGAGCGGAGAAACGGGGAGCTGGGGAATGGCGGAAGGAAGGGGGGAGGGGAAAATGGCGGGCTGAAGAGAGAAGACTCGAATTCCACTCAAGATTCCTCGCCCTCCTCCCCTCCCTCCCTCTCCTCACTCTCTCCTTCCTCCTGGCTTCCACTCCCCCTCTCCTCCCAAACATCTCCCTCTCCTGCCACGTCACCAGTACGACTCCTCACTCAGTTCAGACTCCTTTCGGGTAGCAAAAACTTTGGCCAATCTGCCCGCACTGTTCAACCAAATGACACTGTTCATCCGGGCGGCTTCTGGGAGAGGCTAGCGCAGGGAGTCTGGTGGCCGGCAGGGGAGCAGACAGCAGAGGTGGAGTTGTCTGGAGTGCACAAGGTGGGTTCAGTGCGGTTCATTGCAATTGAGTGCGCTTTAGGCAAAAAGTGTGTGTTTTAATGCGGTTGACACACAAGTGGTCGTCTAAGCAGCAGTTAGCACAGAGAGGGTGGTGATGAGCAGGGGAGCAGACAGAGTGGGTGGAGCTATCTGGAGTGCACAAGGTGTGGTTTAGTGCAGGGTTTTGCGGCATTGCTGTGTAGTATGGTATATTGCTGTATCTTGCGGTGTAGTGCGATGTCCTGGTGATCCCTGTGATGTCTTCCTCGAGGCACAGGGGAGCAGACAGAGGACGTGTAGTGCGGTGTCGTGCATTAGGTAGGTTCAGCGTGGTTCACAGGGGTTGAGTGCGTTTTAACCGCACGATGCGTGTTATAGTGCGGTTGACGCAAGTGGTAGTCTATGTAGCACTGGTTATTGCGGCGCACGGGGGGTTCGGAAGTGGGCGCAGGGGGGCTGGTGACGGGGGAAGTCTGATCTGGATCGTGTAAAATGGTGACCTGGTGGGGTTTCATTTTCCGGATCAATGACTGGACGTGCTTGATAACTGGGTTTCGTGAGTTCTGAGGTGCCTCGAAAGCGACTATGGGGCGTCATGAGATGATTAAGCACAGCTATTTATGACTCAAAAGGGCTTCTCCTTCCCTCTTCGTCTCACTTGGCCGTCTCCTCCCCCCACCGCAGCTGGGCCTGTGGACCACGATAGAGCCTTCTATCCGAGCGTCTCGGCAGCATCTGGGGGAGGTACATCTGAGACTCGTACGTCGACTCGTGATGCCACTTCCACTGCCCTCCTCCCCCTCGACCACACTCTCTCCACCCTCCTCCTCCTCCTCCTCCTCCTCCTCCTCCTCCTCCTCCTCCTCCTCCTCCTCCTCCTCCTCCTCCTCCTCCTCCTCCTCCTCCTCCTCCTCCTCCTCCTCCTCCTCCTCTCGTTTAGCAGCGCCGTGCCAGCTGGCACTGACAGCTGTCTCTGACACGAGGAGCCGAGCCATGGGCACAGCAGAGGTGCTGCTAGGGTGGGTGGCATTGAGATTTCCTTTTCCTGTGTTTGATGTTCATTGCATCATGGTCCTGTGTTTGATGTTCATTGCATCATGGTCCTGTGTTTGATGTTCATTGCATCATGGTCCTGTGTTTGATGTTCATTGCATCATGGTCCTGTCTTTGATGTTCATTGCATCATGGTCCTGTGTTTGATGTTCATTGCATCATGGTCCTGCGTTTGATGTTCATTGCATCATGGTCCTGTCTTTGATGTTCATTGCAATCATGGTCCTGTGCTTTTCTTCAACTCACTCCCCCCGATGACTACAAGGATAATCACTCTGTCCGTGCTGCAATAACGTGACTCCCTCACTCTAGCCTTTCAAATCTCTTCCCCTCCATGTGTTACTCCTGTTTCGTTTTCTCTCCTATCCCCCTCCTTGCAGTGATCGCAGGGGGGGTCACTCTGTGACCACTGCACTGCTGTGACTTGTCTGCTGCCAGTCCCTAGTTCGAAACTGTATTTCCTTTGTTCGCTATTCCTGCACCTTTCTTCCTCCCATCCAACACCCTCCAGTGACCGCAGGGAGGGCCACTCTGTCAGTGCTGCTGTGACATGTGACCTCTCCCACTCGCTCTCTCTCAACGCTGCCACATCGCACCGGTACGTACCCTCAGTCTCCTTCCTCTTCATTTCTAAAAAGTCTGTGTGGCTGTGACTTGCGCGCTCTCGCACTCGCTTACTCGTCCCTTCAGTAAGTAGACGGATGGTACAGCGCACACTCTCGCACTCTCTCAAGCAGTCCTGCTCATTGATAAAACGGGACTACAAACAAGAGGGTAGCAGGTCAAGGCTAGCAAGAACAGCCCATAGGGGAAGAAAAACACTAGCAGAAAACACAACTCGCATGCCTATCCCTGGGCACCAGCCGTCTGCCTCGTGGCTCTACGCGGGCGACAGCACACAGAACGCACTCATTTAGTTCTGCGCGTGTGGTTCAATTCCCACTGCTCTCTTGTCACACCCACCAGGCTCTCCTCTGCCTCCTGGCTGCAACTCGCCAGGGTATTGAGAGGAGACGGCTCAAAGGGTGAATCCACTCACACGATATAACGCCCTCTACGTTCCTTTCCACCCACAGGCTCTCCTGTGCATCGTGGCTCTACTTGCTGGTGACTGCACCCAGTGTCCACACACTTGATTCATTGGGACCTCTCCACGGGTGTTTTCACACCCACAATCCAATGCCCACTCCTCTCCTTCCCACCCACAGGCTCTGCTCTGCCTCGTGGCTCTACATGCGGGTGACGGCACACAGAAGGGAACCCAAGCGAACAAGACTCTTGCTGCAGGTAGGCTCGGTGCTGCAGACAGGCTCGGTGGAGTAGGTTCGGTTTGTTAGGCTCGGTGCAGGTAGGCAAGCCTTCACATACAGGCAGTGGGACTTTTGTTCTCTTCTTGTTCTTTCAGTTCCTTTAATTTGGGTCTCATGATGTGGTATATGCTCAGTTACAAAAACGTTTTCAGGGTATGGTGGTTCAAATCACCTATCTTGCCGATATTTTCCAGCCTAGCTCTGATCCTTTTCCAGTTCGGCCATAGCCATCCGTCAAGAGCTATCCCATCCGTCAAGAGCTATCCCATCCGTCAAGAGCTATCCCATCCGTCAAGAGCTATCCCATCCGTCAAGAGCTATCCCATCCGTCAAGAGCTATCCCATCCGTCAAGAGCTATCCCATCCGTCAAGAGCTATCCCATCCGTCAAGAGCTATCCCATCCGTCAAGAGCTATCCCATCCGTCAAGAGCTATCCCATCCGTCAAGAGCTATCCCATCCGTCAAGAGCTATCCCATCCATCAAGAGCTATCCCATCCATCAAGAGCTATCCCATCCATCAAGAGCTATCCCATCCATCAAGAGCTATCCCATCCATCAAGAGCTATCCCATCCATCAAGAGCTATCCCATCCATCAAGAGCTATCCCATCCATCAAGAGCTATCCCATCTGTAATTCTTTCCCGTCCCCCATTGCCCTCCCATCGCCCTCCCATCCCAGTGGGTACACCGACCATCCCCTTGCCACACCTTCTCTCCGCTCCTCTCACTTTCGCCATCTCGCCCCGCTCAAGCTGTTGTGACGTGGAAAGCACAGAGCCCGCCTGTTCCAGGTGACATGACATCTGCAGCACCAAAGCTGTTCACGCAAGATCGACCTTTTTCCTGTCGTCTTCGGCACGTGCCACTTACCCCCCCTAAGATGTCCATGCAAACGTAGCGCAAACATGTACGTACTAAGCCAGCTCTTCACGGTCCTTTTTGTCTTCTCTCGTGTCGTCAATGGCGTTTCTGCCCCCTTGAAACCTGCAGGCACTACTCCCCATTCGCTACAGCTGCGGCTCTTTGTGTCACGCCACGGTCCGATGGCTCTTCGGCTCAATGCAGCTGTGGGCCATGGGTTCGCAGAAGCGGATGCAAGTGAAGGCCAAACTCTAGAGGTTTAACTCTAGATTCTTACGTTTTTTTCTGGGGTATAGTGCTTGCATTCATGGTACTTTAAATGGTCAAGTGATGTAAAATGTAGTTGAAGGATCTTATAACGAACAGTTGTGGGGGCAACGTGCCACGCGCAACTCCTCCTCCGTCAGGTGGCACGTGTGGGAGTGGACCACTGTCCTTTGTTCCCGCCAGTGCCTGTGTGCCGCCGACCCAACCAACCTCAAGAAGCCTATCGCGCGTGCGATCCCCTGGCTGGACCCACACCCCACGGGCCTGACTGTGCGACCCGCGCCAGAGCTGAACTCAGGCGGGGCGAGCCCGAACCAGACTCGTTTGGCTTGGTAGAAGCGGTGAGGGAGACCATTGGTCCTTGCAGAGCAGACCACACGACCGAACCGAATCACCAAGTTCGCTCATGTCTCGTCCGGGTAAGTCGCCTCAGGCCAGGGCATGAATGCTGTGCACTGCTCCTTCGCCCTTTAGCATAGTGTAGTTCCTCCAGAACCGCCATAAAGTCGAATTCGCTCAACCAGTAATCGTGAAGTAGATCATAAAATATATCATTAGGCCTACCTTGGTCTGCTTTCATCGTCGAACGCGATCCACATTCCGACTTCCAAGATTCAAAGCACCGCCTGACCTCACAGCCAAGGTTACCTTATTGTGACGTTGCTATTGTAGCACAGGCTCACTAATCAGCTTCTAGAATTCCTTTTACCAGTGACGCCGTGACATTTCATAAGCCGGCGAGCGCACCGTCTATTTCGAGTACAAGTTATAGCAGCCGGCCGCTCCTCGCCGCGATATCCCCGGCGACACAAGTCACAGCAGGCGCGATGTTCAACAATCCGCAGGCGATATCGCCGGGGGGCGCATGGGCGATGAACATCGTGAGCTCCGTGGGGCTCATCATGATCAACAAGGTCGTCATGTCGTCCTACCGCTTCGTCTTCGGTACGTCGCTGATTCTCTCTCCAGGTGCATTTCTGGTAGCCAACTGAATGACGCAGCTGTGTAAGACGCATCCTGATCCACGGGGTCGAGATGTCCTCCTGCCACTTCATGTTTGGTAAGTTGGAATTTGCCTTCGGTACGTCGGCGCATGAGCGATGAACATCGTGAGCTCCGTGGGGCTCATCATGATCAACAAGGTCGTCATGTCGTCCTACCAATTCGTATTCGGTTCGTCTTCGGTTCGACTTCGGTCCGTCATGCATTCTCTAGCTGCATTTTGAGATGACTGGATGGTTGCCCTCCGTGGGGCTCATCATGATCAACAAGGTCAGTAAGTCCGCCCACCGCTTCGCCTTCGGTACGTCTCGAATCACCTCGGTACGTTGTTGATTCTGTCTCCAGGCACGTTCCCAGTCAAATGAGTAACGAAGCTCTGCACGACGCGTCATGATCAACAAGGCCGCCGTCATGTCCTCCTACCGATTCGTTTTCGGTACATTGTTCTATATTGAGGTACGATCTGGTCAACCGGAAAACACCGCTCGGTAAGTCGCGTCATAAAAAATATATTTTACAAAAAAAGAAAAAGAAAAAGAAGCATGACCTCCTACCGATTCGACGTTGTTACGTCTCGTTTCGCCGATTTTTCTTCGTTACATCCGTGATTTGCTCGGTGCGTCTCGATTTCCAATCGGCCGGAACTGCTGCGCCGTGGGGCTCATTCACGATCAGTTACATCTTTTTCATCCAACCACTTACTCGTCTCGGTAGGCGAAAGCTTTGTAAACCTTCCAGCCGCTGTACGTCGAGCACTGACTCTCCACCCTTTTGGCAGTGAGAGTTGATACGGTCGCACATGTTTTTTTTGGCAAATTTTGTTTTTTACTGAATCCTGTCGAGGCTTCCCTAGTAACCATGGTCACCCAGGTTTCCTGATCGAAGCCGCATTGTCCGCGTGCCACCATGCTACCAGGCCAAGGAGAATGGAGAGATGGTGCACCTCACACGCATCACACTCACGAAATTGTTCGGCGCTGCCTGCATCAAACACGCGCCAAACAAAGCGCGAAACAAGCGCCAACAAGTGCTAAGTGTTCTCCCTCCCCTTTTATCCCTCCCCTCTTACCAGCCACCACACTAACTGCCCTGCACTTGACATTCACCGGCCTACTCGGCGCTGCTTGTGTGTGGCTGGGGTACCTGCCAGGCTGCCACCATCCCGGCAAAACCCCAAGAGTCCTTCCTCCCTGCTTCCTCTCGCCCCGCCCTCCCCGTGCCACCCGCCATCACTTTGACAGGCTTACACTTGACATCCACAGGCCTATTCGGCGCACCTACCCACATTTTTCCACATGATTTCACATGATTTCACTTGATTTCACATGATTTCACATGATTTTCCTCCCTTCCGTCCCCACCCACCAGCCACCACACTAACCGGCCTGCACTTGACGTTTACTGGCCTGTTCGGCGCAGTGTGCGTGTGGCTGGGGTACCTTTCCGGGCAGGCCAACATCCCGCTGTGGGACATCCTGTGGTTCGGCATGCTGGCCAATCTCTCCATCGTGGGCATGAACCTCTCTCTCATGTCCAACTCCGTGGGCTTCTACCAGGTGAGAGTGGGGAGTAGTGGATACGACTACCTGATGAAAGAATGAGGTTCAGTGGGAATTTACTCCGGTGAGAATAAGGTTTAGTGGGATTCTGTCTGGTGAGAGAGTGAGCGAGTATTGGGCCCGTCCAGGCCAACATCCCACTTCGGGACATCTTGTGATTTGGCATGCTCGCCAACCCCTCGTCATGGCCATGAACCTGCCCCCGATGCCCAGCTCAGTGGGCTTCTACCAGGTGAAGGGGGAGAGAGAGTATGGAGTTGCGGGGGATGGTCGAATGCGATGTCCCTCTGTGGGGCATCCTGTGGTTCGGCATCTTGCCTAACCTCTCGATCGTCAACATGAACATCTCTTTGATGTCCAACTCCGTGGGCTTCTTCCAGGTGAGCTTCGAGCAGTAGGGATTGCAGTGGGTGAGAGTGGGAGCAATGAGGCAGTCGCAACATCCCTGTGTGGGACGTCCTCTCACTTGACATGCTCGCTGGTACTTATTTTGTCTGCATGAAGCTGTTGCGCATGTCAACCTTCGTGGGGGGCGTCTACTATGTGAGAAATGCGCAATAGGGGTTTTATTCTGAGAGGGGGGGAGCAGTGAGGTGGTTGCAACATCCTGTGTGAGGCACCTTCTCATTTGGCCCGGTCGTCAGCCTCTCTATTATGGGCATCAATTTTTCGCCCATGTCAAACTCAGTGGCGGATATGACGGGCGGAGGGGAAGGTGACATGCAGATAGAGATGCCTCTCAAGGAGCAAAGAGTGAAGACACCCTCCAACTGCACTCACAAAGCGCATACAAAGCCAAAGTCGCCGGATCTTAAATCCGCTGGCAGAGTTCGACCCGAGGAGGAGAGGAGGAGAAGCGCAAGCGGGAGGTGAATTAGCCAACAGTTGGTCGGAGGTCATTCACCTCCCTCTTGCGCTTCTCCTCGCCCGGTCGAACCCTGCACGCGGTTTTGAGATCAGGCGACTTTGGCTTCGTAGGCGTTTTGGGAGTGCGGTTGGAGGGTTTTTTCACTCCTACCTCCTTGGGAGGCATCTCTGTATGAGTGCCACTTTCCCCTCTACCCATCACATCCGCCACGGAGAATGAGCTCGTGCCGGCACGTTTTTGTGGGCTTCTATCAAGGTAGAATGAAGGAGGAACGGAGTAGTGCCATTCTACTGGGTGAGAGATTGAGAGAGAGGAATAGACGGGCGGTCCAAGGTTCCTCATAACACATCATCTGGTCTGGCATACTCGTCATCCTCTTCCCGTTTGCTTTGTTGGCTCAGTTTGTGGGCTTCTGCCAGGTGTGCTTGCTCACTGCATGGGGTTAGGGTTAAGGGTTTGTGGGGCGAGCGAGGTGTGGTGCGGGTGAAGTGGGATTTCGCCGCGTGTGCTGAGCTAATGGGATGAATATTACGTAGATAACCAGACAAGAAAGAGAAGGAGTGGACAACAGGCCAACATGGAAAACATCCGTTCGATTGACGGGATCCAACACGTGTTCCCTCCGTTTCCCCTTCTCTCCCTTCCTTCCGTCCCACTCCCCTTCCCCTTTCCTTATCCTCACCACTCCCCTTCCCCTTTCCTTATCCTCACCACTCCCCTTCCCCTTTCCTTATCCGTCCCACTCCCCTTCCCCTTTCCTTATCCTCACCACTCCCCTGACCCTCTCTCAGATATCGAAGCTGGCTATCATCCCTGTGACTTGCCTGTGCGAGACTCTCCTGCACGCCAAGAGCTACTCCAAGGAGGTCAAGCTGTCGGTGGTGGCAGTGATGCTGGGCGTGGGCGTGTGCACCGTTACAGACATCTCCGTTAACACTTTTGGCCTTATTACTGCCACTGTCGCGGTAGTTTCAACGTCGCTACAGCAAATCGTGAGTGTCGTATCATCAGCACCAATAGTTAGTGGCAGGTGCGGGGGAGTGGGAGTGCTGGGGTGGGGAGGGTATGGGTGGTTGGGAGTGGGTGGCCGCACTGTTACAGTCATCGCCGTTAACACCGTTGAGCTCATCACCACTACGGTTGCTGTAGTTTCTACGTCTCTGCAGAAAATAGTGAGTATGATTTATGCACCAGCACTTCGGGCCTATCGGTGGCAGGTGTGGGGATGTGGGTTGCCGGGAGTGGATGTGTGCACTGCACCATTACAGACAACTCTGTTATCGCATTTGCATCCCTGCCTGCACCAAAACGTGAGCATGCCTTGTTCAGCCGTATGGGAGACGGTTCGCTGCTCCAACACAAATATTTCAACCAAAAGCCCGAAGTCCTGAACCACAACCTCTAATCCTGAATCTCGAACCTAGACCTTGAAAACAGACCCCACCTCTTCCCTTCCCCCCCCCTTTCCCTGCCTTCTCTCCTGTGCTCTGCTCGCTCGCATTCACGCATGCTTTGCTTGTCTCCCCTGATTGCGGGGGCGAGCAGAAAGTAAAGGAGGTCTGTTGACCTGCTGCTTCAGACAGCCACCTGACACCCGGTTACCACCACCGAACCTTTGCCCCCGTGTCTTGTCCCCCTCAGTTCGTTGGCTAGTTGCAGAGGAAGCACAGGGTGTCGTCCGTTGACCTGCTGCGGCAGACATGCACTTCGCACACTGACTGCCGCGCCCCGTTGACTCTTAGCCATGCCATGCTTTTCATTCTTCATCCCCTCGGCTCCCCCAGTTCGTGGGCGAGCTTCAGAGGAAGCACAACGTGGGGTCGTTTGACCTGCTGCGCCAGACAGCGCCCATCCAAGCCGTGACTCTGCTGGTGGTGGGGCCCTTCCTCGACTACGCGCTCACCACGCACAACCTGCTCGAGTTTCCTCTCACTAGTAATGCTGCGGTGAGTACTGCTAGTAGCTTATTCAAAGCAAAGGCAGACAGACAGAGAGGCAGGTAGCGCCCATTCAATCCGTGACTCTGTTGGTGCTGGGGCCCAGCCTTGATTGCGCGCTGACTTCCCACAAGCTGCTTGATTTTCAAGCAACGCAGCAGTGAGTTCAAGCCAGGTCCCTTGATGAACTTGCGGTGAGTGTGCATGGAGCAGTGAGTGAGGCCGCTATTGGCCTTGCACCCATCCAGGGGGTCACTCTGCTGCTGATTCCCTTCCTTGATTGCACGCTCACCTCGCATAACCGGCTCGAGTTTCCCATTACTAATAACTCCGCGGTAGGCCGATATGTGAGCTTGAGCTTGCATGCAGCAGTTGCGCCCACCCATGGGTTCACTCTGCTGCTGCTGGGGCTGTTCCTTGGTCACGCGCTCTCCTCTCAATACTCGCTCTCGAGTTTCCAGTCACCAGCGATGTTGTGGTGACTTGAAACAGCTGGAATAGGAGACAGAGGAGGCACAGGGGAGGAATAGTGAAGGAGTAACAAGGGTTATACTTTCCCCCTCCCCCCACCCCCCCACAAAGAAAACCACCCCCTCGCAAAGCCTTATCTTCGTCCTTCTCCCCAGCGTCTTTGCCATCGGCTGCAACCACTCTGTGCACCTTTCCTGGCCTCATATTGTTTACTCAATTTCCCCATACCTCTGTCCCCTCTTCCCCCCTCCAGAATTTCGTCCTCGTCTCCCAGGCCTCTGCCATCTCTCCCTGTGCACCTTGCATCAACCCATGTCCTCTGACTCTCCCTCTCACCCCAGCCCTCTACCCCACCCCACCACACCTCTTCCCCTTCCCCCCCGCCTGCCAGATCTTTGTCCTCCTCTCCTGTGCCTTTGCCATCGGCTGTAACCTCTCCGTCTACCTCTGCATCGGAAAGTTCTCGGCAACTTCCTTCCAGGTGCTGGGGCACATGAAGACGGTGGTCGTGCTGATCCTCGGGTGGACCGTCTTCAAAGACCCGTTCACGCTTAAGAACTTCAGCGGCATGCTCATGGCTATAGTGGGCATGCTGCTGTACAGCTGGGCGGTGGAGAAGGAGAAGAAGGGGGAGAAGGGGGGGAAGGGGGAGGCGGGGAAGGAAGGGGCGCCGCTGCTGCCGACAACGAAGCAAGAGGTGGTTGTGGGAGGGGGGAGGAGGGGAAGGGGGATGTGGAGTATGGGGTGGCGATGGGGGAGAATGGGAGGAGGCCAAGCTCGCCAAACAAGTAGTTGTGGTGAGCTTACAGATGTTGTAACGGGTGTATTTATACAAGTTCTAACTACTATGATGGAAGAGACATTGGTGGTACAGCTTACAAGCCTGCAAGAGGTGAAAATGCTATATTATGGCTGTAGGTTGTACCCTAAGGGCGTACTGTATTCCCCCATATAAAGCACCCTAGGGTGGTAACCAAAATGCCTCTCAATTTTGAGGGGGGTGTAATTAGTGGCTAATTTTGTATAACGCCTGGGTGTTGTGGAACATGCGTATGTGATATTGTTTTTCCTGAACGAAGTGCACTGTCGTACTCTGCTGTATTTGGTTTTTCCCCTCGACATCACGTACGGAAGTAATGAAACACGTAACAGCCAATCCGTAAGAGGCATGGCACGATTTTCTTGGCGGGAAGGCGAGCGCGACCCGAAAGTCAACTAGCGAACATTGAGTTACGAGGATTCAAGGGACACACTTGTTCGGGCAGTCAAAATGGGTCTCGAATTTTTCTGTGTCACACCTCGTGAACCGCGCTGTATACGGTAGGTTCCTCTATAAGTTTCCCACTAGATCTCACACTCAGGTGATGGCACAGCAGCAGTGGTCGAAAAAGGGTATCGCTTGTCTATGCTTCTCGAACTCAAAAGTGATGTTAAAAGTTTCGGGGGGGTGTTCAAATATTTGCAGGCAAAAAAGACGGGTGCTATGTATATCCACTTTAATTAAGCACCCATGTCCGCTCAAGCCACCCATGGGCGTTCAATTTTGCGGGGTGCTGTATACGGGGGAATACGGTATTATTATGCACCTGGTTCAGGGACAGACTAGCACAGTTCTGTGCGCAGCAAGTTTACAAAATGTGAATATGTGCGGTTGACTTCGGTTCCACGCGAGTCTGACCCAGATCCCAGTGTGCAAGACAACGCCCTAATTGTGGTCAGAATTTTTACATCACTTGTAAGTAACAATGTGTTAGACGATCCCATTGTGTGCGTCCAAAAGACCTGTACATGAGGCAAAAGCGATACTCACAAAACCAACTTGCATTCCCCTCAGACTGCCACAGCAGTAGCAGGAGCAGCAGGGGCAACAGCAGCAGCAGCACTAGCCGCAGTCTGACCCTGGTCTCCTCAACCTTTCCTCCGGTTAACTTGACTGCCAGCCCGTGCCGCACACAGCGCCTCCCATCCCGCCTGCCACCGTCTACGGCTCGCTGTTCCCTCTCCCGGACTTGTCTCCGGCTCGTTTCCGCCCTCGTTCTCCTCCGTCCCCTGTACTGTCTTCCGTTGCCCACTCGTGGGTGCGTTTGTCAAACATGTTTATTGATCATGTTTGTATAGACTGTATAGGGTAACCTCCTAGAGGGTACAACATTTAGGTATATGTGCATGTACTCTCTAACTCTATGACAATTTTCAATTCTAGTTTTGAGATGGTATCACGCGTAGGTTTCGACCCCCCCCCCCCCCCCCCCCCCCCCTACCGCTTCCGCTCCTCCCATCGCGTCTCCTAGCCTAGCCTCGCCCCTCCTGAGCCCAGTCGCGACTCCCCCCCCTAGCCCCGTCGCGCTCCTCCCAGGCCCCGTCGCGCTCCTTCCAGGCCCCGTCGCGCTCCTTCCAGGCCCCGTCGCGCTCCTCCCAGGCCCCGTCGCGCCCCTTCCAGGGCTTCGTAGCGCCCCTCCAGGCCCCGTCGCGCCCCTTCCAGGGCTTCGTAGCGCCCCTTCTGGGCTCGGTCGCGCCCCTCCCAGGCCCCCGTCGCGCCCCTCCCTGGGCCCCCGTCGCGCCCCTCCCTGGGCCCCCCGTCGCGCCCCTCCTGGGCCCCCCCCCGTCGCGCCCCTCCTGGGCCCCCCCCCTTAGCACCCCTCCTCGGCCCTGCCGCGCTCCTCACTGGGCCCCGTCGCGCCCCTCCAGGGCCCTGTAGTGCCCCACCTGGGCCCCGTCGCGCCCCTCCTGGGCCCCGTCACACCTGCTCGGCCCCGTCACCCCAGCTCGGCCCCGTCGCAGCCGCTCGGCCCCGTGGCGCCCGCCCGGCCCCTGTCGCAAGTGCCCGGCCCCTGTCGCACCCGCCCGGCCCCGTCACGCCCGCCCGGCCCCGTCGCAGCCGCCCGGCCTCGTCGCTGCCGCCCGGCCCCGTCGCAGCCGCCCGGCCCCGTCGCAGCCGCCCGGCCCCGTCGCAGCCGCCCGGCCCCGTCGCAGCCGCCCGGCCCCGTCGCAGCCGCCCGGCCCCGTCGCGCCTGCCCGGCCCCGTCGCGCCTGCCCGGCCCCGTCGCGCCTGCCCGGTCCCGTCGCGCCTGCCCCGGCCCTACATACTTCCTGGTACTGTCCCCCGTTCCCCGCACCGCTTTGCACCCTCCTGCACTTCCCTGCCCCGCCTTGCACCGCATTGCACCTCACTGGACCGCACTGCACCGCACTGCATCGCACTGCACCGCACTGGACCGCACTGCACCGCACTGCGCTGCACTGGACCGCACTGCACCGCACTGCATCGCACTGCACCGCACTGCACCGCCCTGCACCGCACTGCACCGCACTACACCGCACTCCACCGTCCTACACTGCCCCTGATGGCTGCTGAGCTTCGTTTTGATGCTGAGGGTCAGCCTCTGGAGTTCGAGGCGTGGTTGGCTGACCTTCGCCGCCACCTCACTGGTCAGCGGCAGGTTGGCCACCCGCTTTCTGCCCACCTAGACGGTATGCTCCCCTGCCCTGACCCCCCTGTTGTGCTGCCCGCTGATCCCACGCCCGCTGAGCGCGAGTCCACTGCCGCCGCTGCCCTTGCCCGCTCTGTCTGGCTTTCCCGCGATGCCCTTGCTCAGCTCGCCATTAGCAATGCCCTCCCCCCCCCTGAGCGCCCTCACTTTAGAACCATTACTACCGCCCAGGCCTACCTCGATGCTGTCATCAAGTGCTATTCTACCCCTCCTGCTGCCTCAGTGGGTCGCCTGATCCTCCCCCTGCTCTTTCCTGACCTTGCGTCTTTCCCCACTGTCTCTGACCTCGCTGCCCACCTGCGCTCGATCGATGAGACCTGGCGCGCTGCCTGCACTGATGCACAGCTTAGAGTCCACCAGCCTCCCATGACCTCTACCCTCTACCTCCTTGCCACCCGCCTCCCTGACCGCCTTGCCGCCGCCCGCGACCAGTTCCTTAGCATCCACCCCGCTGCTCTCACCCTCACCGACTTTGTTGACACCCTGACTGTTATAGAGACTCGTCACCGCTCCATCGCCCAGGCGAGCGGTACAGTACCGGTCCCTATGTTTCAGGGTTGTGCCCCCGCTCAGTGTACCTTCTCCGACGGCTCTGTCGCTGTGGCTGAGACGGCTGCTGCAGTGCAGTCCCGCTCGGGGAAGGGCCGCCGCCCCAAGGTTGGGAGCGGCGGAGGCGGTGGGGGTGCGGGTGGGGGTGGTGGTGGAGTCGGGTCGTCCGGTGCCGGTGCGGACGTGGGGACCTTGCCCAGTCCAGCTGCCCCGCTGCCTCCACAGTCGCAGCAGCAGCAGCAGCAGCAGCAGTCGCCGCAGCCGCAGCCTCCGCAGCAGCCGCAGCAGCCGCCGCAGACGAGGCAGGCGAGTGCTCTCCCGCCTGGGTGGCCTGGAGCTGGTGGTGGTCGTGCGCGTGGTGGTGCGCCGAGTGGTGGTTCTGGAGGCGGGCGCTGTCAGTACCAGATCCAGACCGGTCCTCGCCGCGGTTTCGTTTGCGGTAAGATCGGTCATTCCACTCCTCGCTGTTTTCGTCGTCTGGACGACCTGTTCCGTCAGCGCTTTGGCCCGGCGCCCGACCTCCCGGACTGGCACAGCTTGCTTAGGCGTAGCATTCAGATTTTTGACTTGGACATGGATGCCATTGTAGCATCCTTGCATGTGATGTATGCTGATGACTCTAGTGTGCTTCCCTCTTATTACCCTGTGTTGCCTAGTGTAGATGTGCCTATCGTAGACTCCCCTGCTGCGTCAGGCGTAGGATCTCCTGCTTTGCTTAGCCTCGGTGCTTCCACCGCTTCACTGCCGCCTCGCGCGACTGCTGCGCTTTCCTTCACCTTGGACTCTGGTGCCTCCCGGTGTTTCTTCCGCGACTCCACCACCCTGACGCCGCTGCCTGTTCCCGCTGCAGTTACTCTTGCTGACCCCTCCGGTGGTCCCGTCGTTGCCCGCAGTTCCACCTCCCTTCCCTGTCCGGCGGTTCCTTCAGGTTCGCTCACAGGTCTGCATATCCCCTCGTTCTCCAGGAACCTAGTTGGTGTCGGCTGCCTCCAGGACCTTGGCGTCACCACTACGTTCCCTGGTCACGAGCGGTATGCTGTCTGTACCGAGGCCGCCACTGGTGCCCCCCTTACCACTTTCCCCCGGGACCCGGTGTCCGGCCTGTTCACACTTGACACCGCGACTTCCCCGGCTGGGTCTTCCTCCCAGGTCGCTGCGTCCACCCAGGTTGCTGCTGCGTGCTCCTGTCGGTCCCTCACTCACCCGACTCTCCTTTGGCACCACCGCCTTGGTCACCCTGCACTCCCGCGTCTGCGTCACATGTCCCAGCACGGTCTCGTCCTTGGTCTCCCCGGTTCTTTCCCCGAGTTTCCCTCCTCCCCCGCCCCCCCGTGCACGCCTTGTGTCGAGGGCCGGCTCCGCCGTGCCCCTCACTCCTCCTCGTTTCCCCCTACCACCGCACCACTGCAGACTCTGCACATGGACGTCTGGGGCCCAGCCCCGGTCCATGGGCCGCGTCGCGAGCGCTTCTTCCTAGTGCTTGTCGACGACTTCACGCGCTACACCACCGTCTTTCCCCTGGAGCGGAAGGCCGACGTGCCTGACGTTCTCATCCCCTGGCTTGTCTCTGCTCGTGTCCACCGCGGTCTCCCTGCCTTGCGCCTCCACTCCGACCGGGGTGGCGAGTTTGCCTCAGGTGTCCTTGGTCGCTTCTGTCGTGCGGAGGGCATCACCCAGACGTTTACCCTGCCGGACTCCCCGCAGCAGAATGGGGTCGCTGAGCGACGCATCGGTTTGGTCATGGAGGTGGCTCGCACCTCCATGATCCACGCCGGTGCACCCCATTTTCTGTGGCCGTTCGCCGTGCGCTACGCCGCTCACCAGCTTAACCTGTGGCCGCACCCCCAGCGGCCGCCGGTTTCGCCGACTGTGAGAGTACGACCCCGTTCAACCACTTGTCCTATTCTTATCTCCTTCCTATTTCATTCTTCTTTTTATCTCATCTCATTTGGTTTCCTATTCTCCATTCTTCCATTATCCTTTGGATGATCCTGCTATTATAATTATATCACCGACTAGGCTTGGGATGTACT